ATTCACCCAGGAAATGAAACTCCTGAGAACAAGATTGTCTTTTAAGACAGTGTCCAGGGCCCAGACAGGCAGCATTAACCTAGCACGTATGAGTCTACAGTATCAACCTGTTAATTACAACATAGGCTCACCCTAAATCATGTCCTGATGTATTGTCTTTGCGGACTCTAATGAGGACCATTGTTTATAAAATGTAGATCATGCTGTTATTGAAGAAAACTCTAAGGTAGCGATGGAGCCCATAAACCAATCACTGAGGAAGTTGATGGCCATTTTTTCATAGGCATGCATACAACCTGAGGAGTCCCCCCCTGCTGGCCATTTGAAAGAATGCAAGATTCACACACTTTGGCATTACCACAGCCATCTTTTATATTCAATCTATGCATAAAAGTTATATAGTGTATATGCTGATCATATATTGGTAGTCAGATAGTTTTTACTATTATATGTATGCAGACATTAAAAAGAAATTCTCACATGACTATATCTTTTTTTTCTTTTTTAATTTTTGTTATTTAGATTTATTTTATCATATTTTTATTAATCCAATGGCGAGTCTGTTCTAGTCTGTTCTTCTAATAAACAGGTTAACTGGCTAGTTTATTATGACAATTATGAGGGAAAGAGTTTTATTTTATTTTTTTAATCTTGTTTTTCTATCTATAAAACAAGGGGCAGCTAATGTAACTGTTGGGGCTTCTTTCATGACGTTTTGACTGCCATGTCATTGTCTCTATTGAAATGGTGCCCGACCGATCTTGAATTTGCTTATTAGCACTGCCGGCAGGACTCAACCCATGGTGATTCAAAGAGCCGCGGACAATATGAATCATTCAATCAAATGGCACCACGTTGAGACACTGCCCCTCAAGTGCTGATTAGACAAAAATAAAAGATGGCTGAGCGAACATCAGTGCAATGTATGGAGATAGATCCACTCTTTTATGACGTGCTTTATCAAAACAGCACAAAACTCCACAGGGAACTTCTGCAGTTCTGGGAAAACGGCGAATCTTTGGAGGCTCTGGACACAAATCATGCTGCTGTAACATGAAGTCACGGTCTTTGTCTTGGTGTCCTTTACAGTTCGCTTCCTTGGTTATTTTGAAGGTTTTCCTGTGTTTTTACATCCTTACTTTTTCTTTTTCCCACTCTTTCAGTGTCATACACAGAGTTGAAACATCTTAATATCCCTTTCTCCTTGATGTGGATTTAGTCTATGCTTGTTTTAATCATTTTTGCCATTTTTCTGTTCAGCCCTCATCACATATCTAATAAAATAATTTTAGCAGCACATGTCAGAGTCGAACCTTATCCATAACGGTAGATTTGGATTTCATTTGTGTTTTCTAACATCACTGCCACAATTCAGATCTATGGGATACCTCCTCACAAGGCAGGTGCCATTCTTTCATCGCATGCTTGTGATGAAACAGAGTTTGGTGAACCAGACTTACTCCCTGAGTTAAGCTCCACAGGATTTCAGCAGCTGACTGGTATCTTCAGACGTTAGAGGCAACCGCAATGCTACACCACTGCTGCTACTACTACTGAAACCCTGGTCACATGTGATGGCTTCAAAAAAATCCCATGCAGCTGAGTGGAAACACCTGAAGGAACCCTGCCAGATAAATTTAGCGCCAGTAAAGCACGCTCCGGCGCTCTTTCTTACAGTTAAGCGATCAGCTGTGAGGGGGCCCGGGGGCGAACGGTGTAGAGAGATGCCAGTTTTTGGTTGCGAGTTAATTGAAGAGCAGTGATTGAGAAGAAGGCCTCCTCATTATCTCCTAACAGAGCTCCTGTTTCATTAATCAATGTCTACTTGATTCAAGCTCGCCAGTTTATCGCCATTGTTTCCAAGCAACAATAAGGAGACGCTCGTAACCAACACACTCTTCAAAATCAGCGCTTCACTTTCATCTCTCCTTGTTTCCCTTTCCCTTCTCTCTCTCTCTGTCATGTTTCCCTCTAAGTGCTGTCTTTCACTGTCTCTGAAATCACTCACCACCACTTCTTGTCTGTCCTCTGCTTTAGCTGAACACTAATGGTAGTCTTTCTTTTTTCTCTCCTCCTGCTTCCCTTTATTCATAGTAATTGTCTTTATCCAATTCATCCTGTTTCTGTCCGTCACATACTGTTCCGGCAGAGCACAGGCCCTACGCAACATGAAACTAAATATCATCATTATATTACTGGAACTCCTCCAATTATGCCTTCATGACCCAACATCAAAACCTGTTATTATCTCTATTATGTTAATGCAAATGTAAGGCAACCCAGTTTGTTTTCAGCCTTCTCCGTTTGGCCTCTAAAGCTGGAACACCCTGCTGATAAAGAAATACAGACCACATCCTTCAGTCTCCAACATCCCTGAGTACCTATTTGGTACTATTTGGTGCTCAGGAAGCAGCACCTCAGGCTTATAGACATACAGCTTCCCCAGATTACTGTTTACTGATTACTCAGTGTTAGTTGGACGTTTTCTTTCCACCACTCAGCATTACAACAAATGGCCTAAATCCTCCATCACTAAGCTAGGCTATACATTTTATTATAAATAAAATAATGAATAAATTATTATAAATAATAACATAAATAATAATTATTTGATTATTATTGTTACTGACACCATGAGAAAGAACAAGGTGCTGATAGAGATCTTGTAGATATAGTAGTGGCCGTTACAGTGGTTAAATTGATTGCCATTAGGTAGAGGTACCTGAAGCAGCCATATAAGCTGCTTCTAAAGTGGAAAATCTCTAAAAACAAACAAACAAAACAGATCTAAAAGTAGCTTATTCTTTCAAGAGGAAATAGTCTGAAATACAAGAAACAGGAACCATTTGGGGAAGTCGATTTTTCTACCTGTTTCAAACTAAATCTTAATCATTTTTTGTTTCAGGCAGTTCTGCTTTCAGGAGGTTTACGAGCATCTGACTTGGAGCTTGTGATGCTGAAATAGCTGACTGTGAAAACAGAAACAACCAATAATAACAAAATAAAAGAATAAGTGCTGGAGGAACTTGTACCTGTTGGGAAAACAATCAACTTGAGCAATTAAATTAATTCTTGAAAAATTAAGTTTCCTGAAACTTTTTGTGGACCTATAGTAAACCAGTAAGCATTCTGGTTCATTTCAACATCTTATATGCCTAATTTTCCCATTTTTGTGGTTACTGGCAGTCTAACATGGAGTGTAAGTGGGGAAAAGGCTATGCACAAAATATGAATTATGAGTCTTTCTAAATGGAAGTCTCAGATCTGTTTGGAAGTGCTTATCTCATTAGATCCCACACTAGGGATCACAGCCTGGAGAAAACTTACTAGATGACCAAATTACCAGCGTATTAACGTTAATTTGTTTACATGGAAACAAAAATTGTTTCTTTCCACGTCTTGAAATTAGCTAGACACAACCTCACATGAACTACAAAACATTGCATATTACACTGTGTCACTATTATTTCAGCATGTGAAAACATAAAGTATAATCTCAGTTACAAAAACGTTGGGACACTGAGTAAAGTGTAAATAAATACAAAATGCAACGCCTTAAAAATCTCACATATCCATATTTGATTCGAAATGGGATATGTGAGATTTTTTTCAGGCCTTCAGACAGCACTGACAGATGTGATCAGGAACACTTCCAGAAATCACTGTCTCTGAACACCCACGTATGCAGGTTAAAGCTCTGTCATGCAGAGAAGAAGCCATATGTGAACATGACCCAAAACTCATTTAAAATGGACTGAAAGTAGAAAACTGCTCTGTGATCAGATCAATCCAAATCTAAAATTCTTTGTGGGAAACATGGACGGCGTATCCTCCAAACTAAAGAGGAGAGGGCCCTTGCTATCAGCATCTCTGGTGATACTGGGATGCATTATTGCCTATCAAAAAGGTAGCTTGCACATCTGGAAAGGTATACACCAGAGGTGTCCAACTCCAGGCCTCAAGGGCCAGTGTCCTGCAGGTTTTTAGATGTATCCTTGAGCCAACACAGCTGATTTATATGGCTAAATTTTACCTCCTCAACATGCCTTGAAGTTCTCCAGAGACCTGGTAATGAACTAATCATTTGATTCACGTGTGTTGACCCAGGGTGAGATCTAAAACCTTGAGGCCTGGAGTTGGACAACCCTGGTATACACAGGTTTTAGAGCAGGGGTCCCCAACTCCAGGCCTTGAGGGCCGGTGTCCTGCAGGTTTTAGATCTCACCCTGAGAACCTTCACAGACCTTTGTGTTAACGTTTGCTTATCACCGCCATCTGCCACCAGTGCATAGAGCTTTGATCAGTAAATAGTAACAGAACAATTCTGATGAAAATCTCCAAAGTCCAAACAGTATTCTGGGGAAGCTATGTGTCTATAAGCCTCAGGTGCTGCTCCCTGAGTTTGAGTCACGAGGGGATAAACTATAAACACTGCCAGCGTATGGGCTCTGTGAAGTGTGTCGAAATCAGTTTCTTCCCTCACTGTCTTCATCTGCTCTTTTTAGTTTCCTTACTGTCACAGTAATAAACACAGATTGTTTCTCATAATTTTACCCCTGTCATCCTCAGACCCTTCCCTTCTCTGCCGCTCTCCACATCATCCCATTCAACTGGTGGCATTTTCTTTCTCCTGCTTCCCTTTTGTTTCTCGCCACACCAGATTCTCCCAGCCTGTTGTTGGGCTTTTTCTTCTCTCTGTAGCAACAGCAGCATCCAGACTGAGAGAGGTTGTAAATCACAGCACTCTCTCCACTCCGTACCCATGCAGCAGACTCAGGCACTGCCAGGCATACTTGCAGGGAGGACGTCAATTCATCAGGCATGCAGAAAGTCAGTCTCTGAATGGCTTCAGTCAGTGAGCATCAGCGGTTAGTCTGAGCCTGGCTTCTCTTTCAGCATCACTGTTGACATTAACTTAAGGTAATAGAGCACGACAGGAAAGAACAGAGGAAGTGTGCAGAAAGAAAAAGCATCATTCACACAGCAGACTAAGCGACTACCTGTCGGAGCGTCTTCAGCATCTCCGTGGCCTCATCCTGCTTGCCCTGTTTGGCCATCAGCATCATCTCCTGGATCATGCCGATGCGGCGCTGGTAGGGTGGTGGTGGCGTCCCGCTACGGCTCAGCCTGTCCCCTGACTTCAGCATGAGGGAGGCTAAGATGTCTCCCCGCTCCTTGGTGGGTGTCCGCTTCCAACTGTGCTGAGGACTCGCTCCTGCAGGCTCCTGGCCTTTAGCCTGCTTGGCACCCATGGTGCTGCCTCTTAATGTGAACTGTGGCAACAAAGAGATTGGTCCCACAGAGCAGTCATGCAGTGGCAGCTTTGATTCCTGTGTCAGACACCTGCTTTCAGTAAAACGTCAGCAGCTCATCACGTCTCTGTGAAATGTGGAAAGTGTGCCTGTTCCCAGAGTACAGTACAACACTGCAGATACGCTGAGAAGGAGTAGTTTTGTGCTGTTACTCACAGGAGCTGGAGCTCATGTAGGGAACAGGTCTTTGGATGCTGCCTGCCGCATGGCCGCAGAGCGCGGACTGAGCAGAGTCAGGCTGCCGGAGATCCCCAGCAGTGAGTCTGCCTCAGCGACAGCCTCCTATCCCGGACCCAACTTCAGCACCAAATATTTACCCTCTCCTCCTCCTCCCGAGCTGTCCTCTAGAACACAGCGCTCTGTCCTGGAGCAGAGGAGGAGCAGCGGGCGGAGGATCGCTGCTGCATGAAGCAGGGCATGGCAGTGTTTACGTCTGCGGTGCTCCTCGTTCTGCCCTGTCCCTCCTCGGCCGCTGGAAGTCCCGCTGTACCTGCAATAAAAGCAGCGCTGGTCCTCCTCCCGGCCTCACTCTCCATCATTCGCAGGCAGGAAGCAGAAGTCGCATCCGCGCCTCGTCCTGCTGTGTGCAGGCTGCGGCTCAGCGGGCTTTGGCAGAAGGGGCCGGACTGAGGTGTCCCCTCCCCGGGACCGAATTATGTATCGCACCCTCTGTTCGAGTGCACGGGGGCGCGCAGCGAGTGCACGTGACCGCAAGTCTTCCTTCCTCCTGGCGGGGTGATGAGGAGAGGCAGGAGGAGGGCCGGGAGGGTATGAGCACTGCCAAGTGTCTAGTTACACGGCGCTGACGCTCCGTCTCCGCGGGGGAGGTTTTTCTACCAGAGTCCATTCAAAATGTGTCGGCTTGTAGCTGCACTGCTCACAGGCAGAAATGGACAGGGTGTATCTGTCGAGATGAGTCATGCATTTTAAACTGTAGTCTTCTAAGAAAATCGGCCAATAGTGGACCTTGATTTAAGCATTTTGTATCTAACAATTTTTTAAAATTTATTTTTTGCGGAAATTGTCAACCACAACACCAACTTACAAGTTAATACCCGATTAGAGTAGATCTACTTTGTGCACTGCTCTGTGCAGTCACTTTTATTTAAATCACTCCTAAAGGGGCTTTAAATTGTAAAATAAAGAGCCCACAGAAAAAACCCCAACAATCACTTGGCGACAGTGGGAAAGAAAAACTCCCTTGTAAGGGGAAGCAACCTCCGGTAGAACCAGGCTCAAGGCTGCACCTCCCTGAGCCCTGACACATAATTGGAGGGGTGCTCTTTTCTATACCCACGCTCATCGTGGTGAACTACTGTCAGGTGTTCTTAGCATCACATTTTATTTTTAAACCTGTTGCTAGAAGTTTAAGTGTCAGCCAAAATGATTTTCATATCAAAGCATTTTTTTACAAGTTTTTGTGAAATCTAGTTTTAATTGATTTAGTTTTTTTTTAAGTTAGTTGGGATAAACTAAAACACATACATGAGTGTTTTCTCCAAAAAACAAATTGAAACAGCTGTCAGTTATTTATACTACCAGGGAAAGACCTGCACTGACATCTGGTGGCAGCTGTGTGGAACCATTACATCAATGTGGTCATATTTAGCATCCCTAATAATTGTGGTAAGGCCTTACTTTTGAGATAGATAGTGACTCTCTCAAATAACCCTAGAGATGGGTCGGTGACCCCCTGGCAACCACCGGTTACTAGGGACACAGGTTTAAGCCAATTTTCCTGCCCACATACAAGAAACAATTACGCAAGTCTGATAGCTTCACACAAGCTCAAACTCAGCAGAAAGTCTGAATATTGTTCAAAAGGTGTATTTATTTTGCTTCTAATTACATCGGTATTTACAGTAGTATTTCAACCATCAAATCACTTTATCAAAGCAAAAAAAAAAAAGTTAGTTTCTTTCCTCATTTTACAACTTTTAGGCTCATAACTCTTTTACAAAGTCACAGTCAGCCTTGACGACACATCCACATGTGCACAGGATCAAGATGACGGTTTGGTTTTTGTAGGGCGCAGACGGCGGAGAGGAAGGTGGACATCTTGCACACAAAACTCATCTTCTGGTAACATCATCGCTGATGACTCCACAGAGAGCTGCTTCTGTTCACAGTCAGTGGGGACCTGACCTGCCACCAGCAGGAGGAGGGTTCACAAGTCTTAGCCTTGTGACTTTTAGTTTTACTTAACAACACTGAACAAAAGTGGATGCATTTCAGAGTGTCTGAAGCACATTTAGAAATCAGATCTCCAAAAATCTACATCAATAACACACCATTAGTTATAGGCATTTATCCAATCACGGACACCTAAATGATCACACAAGTGAAGAATTCTAGAGTTTGGTACCCAAATTCTTTATCTGGAAATGTTTATGGCAGTTTTTATTTTTATCATCATCATCATCATCATCATCATCCCCCCCCCAGAAACAGCAGCATTAGAACAAATCTGGGTCAGGTTTAACGTTTTTCCTTTATGACTCGATTTTTGGCGTCCTGGGGAAGTTTTAGCCAACAGCAAATTAATACATGCAAAGCAGACAGACCACTCTGCACTAACTCAAGATAGTAACTGCTGACCACTTCTAAACTACCAAATACTGCTATGCTGCCATTTTTGACTTTCTGTACTTTAGATTTATAGAGATGTGGTTTCATTTTTGACATTTCAGGGTGAGATATTTTTTAAATTTCCAGTTTGCTTCATTGTTGTGACACAGTAAATCTTATGTACTTTTACACTAACAGGCCCACACTTTGACACGTTCTCTGTCTCTTTAAGTGTCTAAAAAACCCAAAACAACAACAATTGGGGGAGAACGAAAAAGGGTTCAGGACAAGAGTACTGCATCATGTATAAAAATAAACTGGTCAATATTTCAGCTCGGCAGCATTAATTCACCTTCCAAACTCTCAGCTCTCTTCCACTTCACTGTGCTGATCTCCTCCAGTGCACAGGCTTGCAGATTGATTTTCTAGCCTAAATGAATTTACTGCTG